TTGGAGTGCTGTTCGACCGCACGAATGGCGTCCAATACTACTCGAGTGGGTCCACGGATCTGGTGGCCGACTGTTGCCCATTGGCCGCGCAGATCACAGTGGGTATGGATGTGATCGCCAAATGCCTGAACGGCTTCATGGAGGGAACGGTGGCCGACATATCGGTCGACAACAGTAACGGCAATAACAGCGCCCAGAAGACGGTCTATCAGATCCGGTTCGGCGCCGACAACGCCTGCGAATGGCTCTCCAGACCTCATCTCCGGCTTCGAGTGCAGCCGTGGAGTGAGGAGACGGGCGACGAGTGCTCGGAGTCGCCCGTCACGGGCGGCGCCCACCCGATGACCAACAGCTACGACAGCAAACTAGTGGGCCCTCAGCCCCACCCAAACCCCCCGCAGCCCATGAACTCGCCGAACGTGATCAGCGTTATAACGATGGCATCGCTCGCACAACAGCCACCCATTCCTCCGGCGCTGTCGTCCACCCACTCGTCATCGCATCCGCCACTCAATAGCCCGCTCTCTCCCCACCACCAGAGGGCGCAAGTGATGGCGCAGTACTCTCTCGGCTCGAACACGACGACCACCGACGACGACGACCCGGAGTACTGTTCGGACGACGCGGACGTCGACGACGAAGAGATCTGTCAGTTCTCCAACTCGAGTACACCGACGACGCCCAACGTCTTCACGTTCAAGCAGTGCTCGGCGCCCAACACACCCACCGCTCGCGAACCACATTCCCTGATCGGCGGTGGCGGACACATGAGCTCCGGGAGCGGTTCGGCGGTTCCCACCACTCCTAACAAGTATAAGAAGGGAGACATAGTGTCGGCGCCCAACGGGATCCGCAAGAAGTTCAATGGGAAGCAGTGGCGGAGACTGTGTTCGCGCGACGGCTGCACCAAAGAGTCGCAGAGACGGGGCTTCTGTTCGCGTCACCTGTCGATGAAATCGACGCCTCAACAGCACAACACCTCCTCCGCCATTGCGTACAACCAGTCGTCGGCCAAACTCTCGCCACTGAACCCAACGGTGGGACGAGTGATGGGTTTGGAGGCGTCGCGCGAATCCAATCACATAATGAACTCAATGTCCGGTGAATCTCATCGTCCGCTGCAGCCCACAGCCAACCCGTCGAGCGGTCAGTTCGACACCGCAGAGGCGGCCAATATGTTGATGTCTTTGAGCCATTCGCCCAACGCGTTGACAAACGGGTCGGCCGGTGGACAGCATAACAGTGTCATCGTTCAGCACAACACCAGTCAGTCTCACAACGCACTCAACAACCCATCGCCACAACAATCGCATCCATTGCCACTCATTTCATTGCAATACAGCCATCACTACGACTCGAATCAGACGAACCACTCGTCGGCCAACAGGAATCACATCATAACACCGGCCACTCATCTGCTGCCCATTTTCCAGCCGCCGACTCAACCGCCGCCCCCTCTCAGACACCCGGGCGATGGTCTCTCATCTCATCGCGCGCTCAACGGTCACCAAAACCAAGTCATTTTAATGACTCCCATCGCGTCGGCAGAAGCGATGTCGTCGCCGAACCACTCGTCGCAACCGCAGCCAAACATCTCCTCAGACGGCAAACCCATACCTTTGTTTCCGTGGCATTCGTTGGTGCCGTTCCTCTCGACCGCCCCATCGATGCCGTCGTCGCGTCTGTCGCCTCCGCTCTCAGCGCCGCCTCATTTCGCTGACACCGATAACTCCGATAACGACGACGTGTTCGAGATGTCCGCCAATTCGGTCACAAACGACAAGATGGGCGTCGAGTCGTCGAAGGATTTGACGCAAAACGTGTCCACTTATAACAAGAGGAGGAGTCAGTCGTTGAGTGCTTTGCAACAAATGAAAAACTCCGGTAATTATCACACAATTGGTGTCAAATGAAGTCATGTTTTCATTCATTTCATTAAAACTTATTTTATTATTTGAAACAAAGGTTCAAAAGAGTATAAAGAAAGCAAAGGTCTGAAGGGTTCGGCCAAACAGCACATCCGACGCCCGATGAATGCGTTTATGATCTTCTCGAAGAGGCACCGGGCGCTCGTCCATCAACGGCACCCCAACTCCGACAACCGGACAGTGAGTAAGATATTAGGCGAGTGGTGGTACTCCTTGGGTCACGAGGAGAAGCAGAAGTACCACGACCTGGCCTTTCAGGTCAAAGAGGCGCACTTCAAGCGACACCCGGACTGGAAGTGGTGCTCACGAGGCGGTGGCGCACAGCAGCCCAATATGATGGCCAACGGAGGGCCGCCGCCCGAAGGCTGCGACAAGAAGATGGCGCCCAAACCCAGCGCCAAGAAATCCAAGTCCTGTTCGGAAGAGTCGGACAAAGAGATTAACGTTTGCGAAGACTTTTCGGCCATTTCTTCGGACGAAGACGACGACGAGCCCAACGATATGGTCATTGATCTCAAGTGCAAGGAGTCGGTGGCCGTCGAAGACGAGTCCTCGTCGGTCGACGACCCGACGTCTGTCGACAACCAACAGAAACACTGCGTTCGCTTCAGTTCTCCCATTTCGATGTCCATCGAGTCGTCGCCCAAAATCACGGAATCTGTGGCCACTCCTAAACCTATTAGATCTCAATCGTTGAATAGTCCGCCGAATTCTGCCAAACCTTTCAGCGGATTAACCGCTTTTCAGCCCAAAGGGGCCGTATTTAAAGACGTCGGTCCCCTCTGCGCCGGTCTGCCCGTCACCACAACCTCTTTTGACTCCCTGTCAGCCCATGCGGACCAACCTCTGGACGCGACGTGCAGTTCTGTGGCGCAGAAGTTGGGTCGCGGGTCACTGCCATCGCCGCTAATCATACCAGTCATGAGTCAGACAACTGCTGCCATGTCTTCACTGTCACCACAAACAGCTCTCTTCACGACATCGCCGTCGCTGACGATTAGCGCCAAATCACAGCAAATGCAGACCATATCGTCGGCGCCCTATATGACCGGCAAATACAAGAATTTGGTGAAAACGCCGCCATCGCCGCAGACACTCACCTCAGCCGGGGGTCTGTCGGCAGTCGCACAACAAAGATCTCCCGTTATTGTCGCACAACAGACCCAGAGGTCGACCAATGATTCTCAGACGACCACTGCATCCGTGCCGTCGACGGCCCCCTCAGAGCCGCTGTTTTATAAGACGGTTATGAACTTCAAGAGCGGGAACCTGTCGATGACAACGCCTCCCACGCCGCTCGTGATTCCAACCGTCAAAGTAGAGCCGCCGCCCAATTCGCCCCCCAATGCGGGCGCCGCCACCGCTGCCGCCGACGAGAACAAGTCGACGAAGGCGTCGACCACTGGCGCCAACGCCAGCGAAGGGAAGTTCGTGTTGGCGCCGACACCCGCACAGCTCGGGAAGGTTCGCAATAAGAAGGCGTCGAACGGCGAGTCGACGGCCAGCGACGGCGACAATAGGGACTTAGCGGCGGCCGAGAGGGACGCCATGGATCGGGTGCTCGAAGAAGTGAACTTTGAGCGACAGTTCGCTCAGTTGCCTGAATTCAAGCCAACCCGCACTCCGCTACTGAACAGCGCGACGGCCACACCGACCACTCCTATACCGTTGTCGCCCAGTCTTACGGCGGCGTTCGTCAGCTCTTACCGGAAACGGCAGCGAATGAGTCACTCCTCACAACAGTCTGCGGCGACCACTCCGTCGAGCGCTGCGTTGCCTAAGACTCCCGAAACGGCCGCTACGACTTCGCCCGACACCGACACCTCCGGCAACACGTTCTTCGGGCCGACATTCAATTTGGGAGAAGCGCTCGCGTCGACCAACTCTGAAGCGGACGTCCCCTCACCGCTCACACCCGCAGGTATGACCCATACATACGCTTTAGATTCGTGTGATTTGTTGAGTCAAACACTTGTGACGTAATGTTTAATTGAAATGTGAATTAATGGTGTGTTTTGTGCGACAAATAGGCGGCGAAACCGAGAAGAGTTCGTCTCTACGAAGAACTTTGGATCAAAGGAGACAACTAGTGATGCATTTCTTCAATGAAAAGGGTCTCTTCCCCTCCGGTATGACTCCATTTGCATGCGATTCGGGTGTTATATCTTATAGCGATTATAACTTATGTCTGTTTTGTCTATTGTTTGGGAACTTTAGCTCAGGAAACGGCAGAATTTCAGATGAAATACTCGTCAATATTTCCGAATAAGAATACACTTCAGCTTAAGATACGAGAAGTACGACAGAAGTTGATGTCCACGACTCCAACCACTCCTAACTCGGCGCTCAATGCGGGCGCACAGCAGCAGATGACGGGCGGCGCCTGTGACCTGTATTCGGGCCAACACTCGGACGACTCGTCTCACGGCAGACCACAATCAGACATCAGTGCAAACAAATAGAGAGCTAATCATCAAATGAATCATTAATTCAAAAGCAGACACTAATTAAATAAATTCAACAAATCGTTAAAAATGATTATTTTCGATGTTTTTGTGTTAAATATATTGAACTAATTATTGTAGAGAAATTGAAAAATAACTTATATTAATATTATTATAAATATATATATTCTTATGGTATATATATATTTGTTGTGTATATCATGAGATGAGATTTGAACAAAAAAGTAAATAAATATTTTGTTTTGACGAATCATATAAATAAATGAATTAAACGCTTATTTTTTGAAAACAATTTTAATTTTTTAAATATTAAATTAAAGGCATAAGCCGTGTGTTTTGTGTATACAATACAGTCAACCCCCGGGGGTGTGTGTCGGTTGTCCACTATGTGGTCGTGTAGTTGAAGTGTCAGCTCGTCTTATGTTCATTAGTTATATTTAAAATATAATATAAATTTGCTTTTAATTTAATACAAAACTAATTACCGGTAAAATTCACGTTCAATATTTAAAAAAATTGTCTCATTTATATACTCTATTATAATATATAGTCTATAATATTAAATATAATTTCATATCAATTGTTGATAAAATAAAAAACTGATTTCAATGACACGGCCTCTGGGATAGTGGGCGCACACAATGGGGTGCGAGAGTCGACTGTATATTACAATATCATTCATTTGATAAAATGACATAAAAAATGATAACTTCTTATCAATTAATTTAATTTGTTTACAGACTTGTAGTGTGTGTCGTATTTTGATAGCAATTCTCACATTAAATCTCTTTGTCGTGTATATTATATCGCATGTAAAGAGCAGTTCAATACATATCGCAATACCTCTGTAACTGTCAAAAAGGTTTTGTTTGATTACTCAATAATAATATTAATGTGATTTGAAATCATTTTTTAAAATTCAATGTGTTTTTTCACAAAAATGCAACATTTGTTTAAGTAGTTGTCAATTGATTTTAGCGTTTTATCAAATAAAAACTCAACGCTTTTTGTTTGTCGTTTTGCTGCATAGAATTCAATGGTTTTTCTTATGATAATTCATAATTAATAATAATTATTATAATAGTAATCATAAATATTATAATAATAATAATTGTAATTTATATAATCAATTAAAAATCAATAATTAATAATAATTAATAATCAATCGTAGCGTATAATCAATAATAACTGCTTTTCATAATTAGAGACAAATTCAACAAAAAACAAATTCATTAACTTTTATCAACTGTTTATACAAATCACTTATAATTCCAAGAATATTAAGAATATTCTTATCACTCAAACCGACAACTCTTTTCAATTAGTTATCAAAACATTACATCAAACTTATGCCCAAATATAAGGCGTTTTTACTTTTGCTTTATGTTTACTTCAATTTCGTTCACTTTTGTCGTCAATTAATTAATTAACTTTTAAAATAATTTCTCATTTCATACATAATTATAGTTCAGATCTAAGTCTGCGTTTGATTTGTGTGATTGAAATAAAACGGCTTAACATATAATGAGTGAAACAAAATGAATGACAAAATGATAAGACATTTGATGAGAGAAACCAATTGATAGCGAAAATAGGGCTCAAAAAACGAGACGAAAATACAAATATTTTGCTGAGAAAATCAAGTCCTGATTTCAAGTGTAAAATAATGTATCAAATTATACGAAAATAATGGTATGAAATATATATATATATAACTCTTTATATATATTGTATATATACTGTACTATAGTCTGTTGTTAAGCCTTAATATCATTGTTAGTATTGATCACAAAAACAAAACAAATTAAGAAAAACTTTGTGATAAAAATAGGATTTTTTGACTTATATTTTATAAGTTGCTTTCCCTGTCTTTCAGTTCTCATAAGAATTACTTTTGATTTACAAGAGTAACGCAAAACTCTGTTTATAAAAAATCAATACCTCTCTGTTAATTATGAATACCTGTTCACCCATTATATCAATAAATATGTGTAAAAATAATTAAAAACTCAAAATAAAATCAAAATTTGCGTAAAAAGACACGAAATCGTCACTATATTCTGAACCTTAATATCAATTGCTTTTAATGGTTATTCTGAGTGCAAGTCTGACAGCAATGGGAAAGTGTATCGGAAATGCCGTCAGAATGGAGAATGAGGTGAAGAATTCAGTCATCAGTTCACACGCTATTCCTCTGCTGTTGGAGCGCCACTTCAGCCAAAGCGGCCAAACCGTCGCTGAATTCAATTCCCTGAGTGGTAGGCAACGAGTTGTTGACTAAATCTGAAGTATTCTTGTCGTTGGCGACCACCGAGTCGTCGCCTGTTTTGTGTTTAACGAGCGCCTCGTCGGTCGCCATTTGGTCCGAAGAGTCGCCGTTTTGTGTCTCACAAACAGCAGACGACTCATCGCCGGCCGCCTTATTGTCGACGCAATTGACAACTGTTTCACTGGTTTTGGAAACGTTTGCATCCGTTGTGTAATGTTTAAGAGTATTATTACGATTCAACTGATCCGAGTCGCCATTATTATCATCATTATTCATAACATTCTTAACCACATTCGTGTCATTGTCTTCAATATCACTATTACTTCTATCACTCATTGAGTTATGGTTTGACTCATTACTAACAACACAACAATTGTTAATCGTTTGCGGTTTCGTAGGGTTAGTGTCCGACTCATCGTTGGAACCGCTCTTAGGACAACCCGAAGAACTGATAGTCTTATTGGCTTTGCTATGACTGAGAGCGTTGAGCAGATGAGTGTCGCCTAATTGTGGCAATTGTTTTATGTGTTCCTCTAAGTCGAAACCGCCGGACACCCACTTGGAGGGCCCGTTCCCGGACGCACCGGCGCTCGACTGCTCTTTTGAACTCTGGTTTTTAGCCGAAGCCGTCGTCTCGTCTTTGCCGTCGGCGCTGTTGGCCGACATCGACGACACCGTTCGGCTCCGTTTCCCCATCTTATTCTCCGACAAAATCTCCAGATATCGCTTCCCTTTACACGACCGCTCTTTCCGTGACTGCGCGGCGCGACTACCGCTGGAAGCGCTGCTATTGTGGGGACCGGTACTTGTGCTCAAAGTATTGCAGTTTGTATTTGTATTGTCACTATTCGTGTGATTATTACTATTATTACGATTATTGTTGACATTCCGTACGTTATTATGAATAACACTATTAATGGCTTTAGTCTTGTCATCGCTCGAAGACATCATTGAAAGTGACGGCGAAGAGAAAGGCAAAGACAGGGCTGTGGATGCGGACAATGTGCTACCTGTACTCGGGATCGCAGCAATGGTTAGACATTAATCGCGTCATACGAGTCAATAGGAAGCATACCTTCAATAGGAGTGCTCAACAGCTTATCGATGAAGTGGTCGATAATGTGTTGGTTGGATGTGTGGAGAACAGTGGACGCCGAGAGGTTCAACGGCTTCTCTTCGTCGGCACTGTTGTCCTCTTCGGGCTCGTCCTCATCGGAGGGCGTGTGAGGCGATCGTAACACCGGATTCGTTGAGATACTATTTGTTGCACTTTTGTCAACACTTGTACTATGGGTTGCGTGGTTTGCGTGAGTGGCCGACCCGTTGCCGACCGACGCCCGCAAGTCGTCGAAGGCCTGCGAGCGTTGGGAACTCCGTTCGAGTGCCTCCAGCTCTCGGGTCTCAATGGAGTGCTGTTCCAACACGTGATTGATGTGTCCGTTGATGATATCCGAGTTGAAGGCCGACTGTTCCCGGTTTGCGTTTGCGTTGGGCCCGGAGTTCAACGACAGGCATCCGCTCAACGCGTTTTCGATGACCCGGTTGGCCGTCTCGATGTCGAGAATAGGCGGTCCGGCATTTGTACACTTGGCTGCACTCGAGGCGCCGCCAGACAACGGGCCGCCGTTTGTGCTCGCGTTGGCCATCGCATTGTGGTTCACGTGGTTTGCGGCTATAGTCACACCAAACGAGTCACACAATTGTCAGACAATTATCAACACAAAAGCACACAAAATAATAGACAAACCTCTGAACTCTCCGTTTTCCAGATTTTCTAAATAACGCTTCTTCGGTGGTTTGGGTGTCGACTGAGTCTGGTTTGGTTGCGCCGGAGGTCTGATGTTGTTTTGTGTCATAAATGTCGGCGCGACCGGTGGTGGCGGCGGTGATGGGGGCGCAGTGGGAGGCCTAACACCAAGTGGTGGTCAAATGTTTGAGTAAAACAATTCTAAGCGCAAACACATTGTAGGCATACCTCAAGTCTGTGGTCTTATACCACTTGAAGTGTGGGTTGGCTTTCATGAAGGCCTCCTTGTACTGTCGGGCCAACTCTGTGTACTTGAGCTTCTGGTCCGAGTCGAGGGCCGCCCACCACTCGCCCAATATCTTAGTGATACTCCTGTTCTCGAGGTGGGGGTACTTCTGGCGGACGACACTCCTGTGTCTCTTACAGAATATGAGGAACGCATTCATCGGTCGCTTTTGTGACTGCGAGGAGGGACTCATGTCTGCAGACAAACACACAGTGAGTGCCGACAAATCGGCAGCAATTTCTAATGACATGTCAAACGCATACTGTTTTGTAGTGAAGTGTTTGAACCCGTTTTGGTGTGTCTCTCGTCATCCGAAGACGAGTCCGATTTCATGGGTCGGCCATCGATGCCATCGGTCAGTGCGGCCAACGGGTGGTCGTCGGCCCTCTTCCCACCACTTTCACAATGAGATGGACTAACCGTTTCCTAAACGACACGAACAGACAGTTTATAAACAAAACTCAAACAAAAGTCACACTAAAAAAGGCAGACATAAAGTCATATCTAAATACTCGTTGCGATTAAACGCTAACTTTAAGGTCATATCTAATCGCGAAATATATATTAATAAATACTATTGAAATGAATACATATTTATATCGCATATAACTCTAATCTGCATTCAAATATACAACACAACAAAAAACTCATGAATGTATTGATTATCGATTAATGAGTTTAATAAACACAAAATGAAAAACTTAATACACTATTAATTTGCATCAATTAAATGCTCATTTCAAATGCATTTGCCTCTTAATTGATCTGTCGGTGAATATCTCATAAATGTGTTTCAAATTAGATATAAAAAACATTTTTTTCTAATATATGTATACATTTCAGACTACAAAAAATGTTTTATTAATATATTCCGTGAATAAATTGCCAGAAAATATACACAACTATTGATTTGAAACAAACATTAAATGCTATGAAAACCGAGTCTTACATATTGAGCGCTCATTCGTGTTATCAAAACTAATACATTATATAAATATAAATAACAAATATAACAATAATTTGATTGAAAATTAAATGAAATGCAAACAAAAGAAATACATTAAGCCTTAAGTCAACTCTAATTACAAGAATCGCTACTTTCGTCGCGAATTGAATTGAAAACCAAAGTAAATGACTATAAAAAGTCTCAATTCATTGCCAGTCGTCAGCAAACTATGCATTCATTATTGAAATGATTACTAAGAAAATTGAAATGAATGTCTTTTCGGTTCATACAGTGATCCCCACAATAATTATATTTATTATATTTATATACAAATATTCATCAATTACTGCATATATTGTCATTTTCGTTGCAAACATATTACACAACAGCCTATAAGTATAATAGCATATCATAAATGACTGTATAATCAAATACAGCCTATGTTTGCATCGATACAAAACTCTTGCATTTCATTATCAGTGCCTAAAAACTTAAACAATGAAAAAAAACCATAATATAGTCAATAGTGTTATAATCCATACACTAATCAATTCATTCATTCGCTTGAATTGACATTTTGTGACAAAAAAAGCATTCAATTTATGGCTAAATATGACTACAATTGATACACCGATCGGAAGGATATATCAAACATTGAATTACAGTATATTTAAGCAGAAAAAGAGTTGACTCGTGAGTGCCATCACTCTCTACACCATTGCATACATAGACTCTATTTTTGACAACTATTTCATCTAATATTTTAAGACAATAAACAAATAAATAAATAAAACCATAGTTTGAGAGACAGAGTGGGAGAGAGAGAGAGAGAGAGAGAGAGAGAGAGAGAGAGAGAGAGACTTTTCTAGTGATATAATAATGCAATCATTTGTCGCACTCATAGTAAGCCATACATTGTGTTCAACGCTATAATTAAGTGTTTAATGAAAATCTCGTTTCAATGCAAAACAACGAGTGAATCGAGAAAAAGGGTTTTCGTATGAATTAAAAGTGAATTAAAACTAATGACAAGTCGTTGTCGTAATGAGTGTCTGAGCGGATCAACTCGTGGTGACAGTGAAAGGTCTGTCAGTGTGTGCCATAACTCCCACTTCACTCAATGGACAGACTGTATGGAGTGATAGGGTTTGCCATTTGGGGCCATCTTTACACTGTATGTACGGCTGTGACAGAGCACTGGTAGCCTCGCTATGACATGATAGGCACTGGCATACCGTATACACACAGGCACTGGCTGTCTGTGTGAGCACTGGTAGGCAATAATGGCAGAGCACACTCGACGCTAGGCTATGGCTCGAAGGATCGCATATAATGACATTTGTTGAGTGAATATCTGAATGAAAACTATGGCTTTGAGGCGACAAATGACTTAAACACTGATTATAATGAACACATAAATGCATTCAAATCGGACTCCCATTCAAAAAGTGGACATTTGGTCGGTTTGAATGCATTTGAATGAATCAAATAAAACACAGAAATACATACCAATCGAGTGGCCATTACTTGTCTGTCACTGCAATACAGGGCCTATAGGTATACACAACACATAGGCTTAACACTGCACTCACTGCACACAAAGCACTTGACGTCTCGCATACACTGCAGCCATCTATGCGTACACTACAGGCACTACTGACACGTCATTACGTCATTTCACGCAATGGCACTCATATACGACGTGCGCGTGTTTGGCGAGTGGGAGGTGTGTATGGATGAAGTGAATTGTGTGCAGCAAATGTAGGGGTTGTATATGTGTGAGGGGAATAAGTGCATATGTTTTTGGGTTATTTGACACGTTATATATTATCGATATCCTCAGGCATATTAATATCATTTTTATGCAATTGTTAATTTAGGTATACAGTAATAACGTTACGCACTGTTGTTAGGGGCATATAATATCCAGGATTACTTTCAAACTTTTAATTATTTTGTTTAAATATTATAAATATTTATTAATTTTAAGTTTATATTTATTTTAAAACTAATTTTTCGATGTCAAGTAACACACAAATTGAGTGCAACTATGAGGCATAGGCACAGGGATGACAATATAGTGATCGCAAACTCTGTAATATATTCACTTTTTTTTGTGCACATAATTAATCAAATGATAACTTATTATAGAAAAACGATTACTTCATAAAAAAATGCCAGTGTTTTAAAAATAGCAGGTGCATACAGGTGCTAACCCTCTCCACTCTATCATGACTCTCTCTCTCTCTCTCTCTCTCTCTCATTGTCTTTGAACACACAATAGATGTGAAGGAATTTAAGATTAATTTGTTTTCTACAACCAGTAATAAATGAAATATAAATGATTTAAACCCAATATGTTTGTAATATATTTTTATTATATAATATAATATTATTTAATATAAAATTGAAAAATTAGAGAAAAAGTTGAGTAAATTGTTTGACAATCTCTGCGAAACTGAACTAATAATTGATTTATAGTTAGTTTGAAAGGCGCAGAGATGGTGAACGGTAGCGCACGGGTAGTGTAGGTCCGCCACCGATTAGACCGCCCCTCCGGTGCCGAAACTGTCGATACAATTGAGACAAACCATTAATATCATTGATTAATACATTGAAAGCCATAAAAATATTAATACATTTAAGAGAAAGAGTGAATTTTTTCACTCTCACTACGGGTTTGAATGGAAAAGCACTCAATAGAGTGTATAATTTGTCATAAATTATTGAATACACGAATGCATTGAATGCATGTGTTATGCCATAAAAGGAATGGCTGTTAAAAAAGAGTAGTTATCATAAAAATCAAAGACTTTTCAGCGAATAGAAAATATAATTACAATAAATTTTTAATGAATTTTGGTTTAAAAGTTGGTAATAAATTGATAAATTATTTATGGTATATGTAATTTTGTTTCTGATATCTTAGTTATCGTTAGGCATTGAATATTCATATCGAGAATATAAGTTAGTTCTTGAAAGTTATGTATTAGAAAAAGTTTGTGTTCATTATAATGCATTCATATTGTTGTATAAATTCAGTGCATTCATAAGAAGTGTATATAAGTTAATATATAATATATTTTTAGGTGACTTTTGGGAATTTTTGTGTTAGAAAGCTATCAGTTTAACATTAGATAGAGATTTATATCTAATAAAATAACAAAAAACAAAATTAATGGCTTTCATCGCATAAATAAATGTGTGAATTAAAGGGTTGATTACTTGGCATTGGATGAGGCGGTCATGGCTTTTGAGCGTAGGATCAACTCCTCATTCTTCTGGAAGGCTTGCGGTGCATACCTGTTATACAAACCCCAGACACTGTTCATATACTTTGAGTTGTAGTTGTGGTGAGTTTTGTCAGTATCTAACCATTCGTGAGATTATAATCGTATTATTAGATATTTGTACGAGTAATACATGCATGGTATGGATGTGCGGTTATATATACATTGATTGGCGGACATGTCGGTGGGTTGTGTCCCACCGAATGTCTTTTGGCGATCCTTTTGCTGTTTGATCTGTTGGTGCACTTTGACGGCACTGAATGAGGCGAACGGAACCGATGACATGACTGGCCTCTGTTTGGCGTCCAATATGTTGGTATAGACGATAACTAAGCAAAAAGTGGGAATTGTTGTCAGTATATGGAAATTAGCCACAAATCTCATCAAAATCGGTTGAATAAGTCGCGAAAAATTATAATTATTGAAAATCAACGCTAGAATTAAATGTACAAAAATGGTTGAAACAAACTGTTTAGCGAAATAAAGTTTTAGCACAAAACTTATCTCTAACTGTGTTTAACATATACGACTCAAACCTATTGGGAAACTCACAAAGTTTCTCAAAACAAGAACTCGAGCTCTGGTTCTGTGAACAGTGAATACAAGTATCTCCAGAAACAAACAAAATAAAAGTTTGCTTTCCTTTTGAGAAATGGTTTAATCATTTGTACGAATGAAAGAAATATACAAAACCAATACGTGATGTAATATATATATAATATTATACCTCACATCTCATTGTCGGTGCAATTGTTATATTTATAATAGTTTTTGTTTCAAACAAATTCGTGATAAAAAGCGAGTCAAACGTAAACATAAGATAAGATTGGAGAAGAAAGTCTTAAACAAGTTTTCTATTAATAACCATTCATTTGAATGGAAAGTCATTTTATATAAGAAACCCATTTGTATCGACCAAACAATGAAAGTTTATTAAACAAATCATATTCTACTGTACTAGCTAAAATAGTTAGATATAAATATTGGTTTGGGAGGTGTGTTTGGTTATACTGTACATCCTTATGTCTATTAATTCCTCTTATAATATAACTTTTCTTACATACACAGCCCTCCCCCTTACACATGAATATTAATTGTGTTTTGAATTAATAATGATTGTTATTAATTATTATTAAATTACTTAATAACATCCTATGATTGAATTTACATAACATGATAATTAATAATTATAATGTTTATCACTGTAAATAATAATTTATTATCCATTGATTTAATTATGAAACAATAAGATAGACAAATGATGTAAATTATGATTACAAAATATTCTGTATATCGTATATTTAATATGAATAAAATAAGATGTCTATTTGAGTCTAGTCTGTGTTAAACCTTTCATATAATACAGTGATTGCTTTTGTCAATCATTGTATTATCGCAACCATATTAAGGACAAAGTTTTAAGATCAGTCTAAAATGTATCATTGATTTTAGTCTGTTTTTTATTTTAAAACAAAAATTGTTCGCTCACAAAATTGTCTATCAATTAATTTATTTTAAAGGGTATTGATTGATACATACTGTATAATCAAAAATATTCAGACTAAACGACGCTATTAGATTTTTTATTTAAATTAATAAAAGTTGTAAATTTTAATTTTGTTAACGAATTGTAAAATTCTGAAACATTTTAATTGTATGTTGTTTTATTTGGTTAATAACATATTAACAATGACTGTTACTTAATATTAATAATACTAAAAATTACACATTGAAATATCAATAATATTATGTTAATTTGAATTATATCTATTGAACGTGTCATTTTATTTATAGACTAAATATTTGGGACAACTATTAAATG